TGCTTATATTGTATAATTTACTAATAAAGATTAAAAGTATTGCCTATATATTTGTAGTACCGGACGGATAATGTTAGTACAGTTTGGACGATGGGTAAAGATTATTATAATTAACAAGGTAGTTGAAGTTTTAGCCATCCAGATTGTAATAATTTATGACGTAGCGGGAGATGATGGGTAATATTGATATAGAAGAATTTATTTTGTTGGAAGCACTATAGATATGTGGCTTATTGTATACGACGAAGAATGAATGGATGGATGGATGGACCGACTGACTGACTGACGTCAATGTTTCAGAGTCTAAAGTTAATGGTGTCTATTTGAAGTTTGTTGAAATTAAGTAACAGAGCGAGTATCCAAGGGCGTAATGTATTAATGGGACTTTGAAAGAGTATATGTAGTTTCATTGAATCAGTTTTAATATGCATGGGAGATTGAGTGGAGATTGTTATTATAATCAAAGTGTTTGTTATTATTATTATTATCAAGGGGGAAGCGCTAAACCCGGAGGATTATACAGCGCCTGGGGGGGGGGGGATGTGGAAAGCATTCAGGCTTAATTCGGGGAACTGGAACACAGATCCAATTCCCTAAATCAAGAGCCCCTCACCAACATAAAGGGACGTTCCTTGAGGGGCCAAAGAAAGTATTAAACTTATAAGGGTCCTACAGGGATGGAATATAGGAAGTGTGTGTTTTAGCGATTCCACTAGAGAATTTTATGATTTTATTTTTTTTTTTTTTGGGGGGGGGGGGGGGAGTTTATGACAATAGTGGTGATTAATAGTTTTAATTTACTGGCTCAGAAATGCTTCGCGTTTTTATTACAATTAGAGCTGTCTGGAAACAAGCAACCACAACTGTTGTTTCTGTCAAGCGTTTTTTATATGAACATGTATTACTCATTATTAAAGTACAGATGGGCTTGTAGACGTTTGCACATTTGTTTAAAAATATTAGACGAATTTTGAATATTGAGGAATGTCACAGAAACAACGTTAAACAGGATTATGCGCAAGTTTATTGGTGCATATACAAATATTTGCATACATTATGGTATATAGGAGCACGTGTATAGATGGAAGTCCTTTGATGACAAATTTTGACGAGTTAGTCAAAAGATTACAGACGTAATTAGATAATGGGTCTACGGAGTGGGTGTTAAACTTTTGATAGGTGAAGTAAATTGAAAATTAATGACTATTGAACACATTATAGAGTAAGGAGTCATTTACATGTCGAAGCTTGGTGAACTGTTTTAAACGTTAATTGTTTATTGGGTCTCACAGACACCAATAGGCGAGTATATATACACTTTGAGTATACATGGACGAGTAGAAGCACTCGCATATATAAGAGTACATAAAGTACAAATGCAAATATACATACAGAAGCACGCCTACACACTGACGTGGTAATGTTTTCTAGTAACAGATTCGCGACTAAAATAATGTCTTGAGGTAGACTAATGACAAGTTAATAATAGTGGTATTGCATGGCCGTGGTGGTAAGAGGTTCCTTTATGGTTTAGCGAGAGATTTTTGATACAAGGAATGTGATGTTAACCGCTTTGACGTAAAGTTATTCTGTCAGGTGGTGTATGAAGTGTAGTAATTGTAGTAGTAATTTGAGCAGAGGTTGGAAGGAAGCACCGGGATCACTTGTTTTTGTTGTGTGTAGCACTAGAATTGTTGAACTGAGCGTCGTCGGTGTGTTGGTGGTTGGCCATTACACCTTTGATTTGAGCTCTGGTGGTGATAGCACGAGTTAGTTTAGGTAACAAGCTAACTTCCAATATAGCGCATTAATATGATGAAGGATAATTAATGGCATTAGTCAGAAGTGTAATGTGGAAGGTGAAGGTGAGTTAGATTCAGTTGAAGAATTGCTTTTGTAGGGGGAATAAGTTATTTGTTTATGGTGTTTATACGATTTAATATTTGATTTTTTGGATATGTAAGTATTGTGTGGTAAATTAGTTTTAGCTATAAGAGCAGGGTTAAGTTTGACGTTTTCTGCAGTGTGTAGGAGTTTGGTGAGTAAATTGTTCGAATTAACGGTGGGGTTTCGATGTGAGGAATTAGAGGTAGTTGCGTTTAGGAGTAGTATGATATTTAAAGTAAAGGAATTTAAACTGATAGATTATAGAGTTGTGGGTGTTTGTGGGAAACAATCAATCAATCAATCAATCAATCAGGGTGCAGCATTGGGGTTAAAAAGAGCAGTTATTACCGGGAGACCTTAGTGATATATTTAAAAGACAATATTGAAAATGAAGTTGGTAGTAATTGTAAATGAATTGATGAACAAAGAGAGATAGAGGGCAACGAGTGACTATGTCGTTTAAGGTTTACTGCACAAATAGTAAGAGTTTAAGAAATGAGATGGACGAGGTAAGATTACTTTCAAGTAATATAGATATTATTATTATTATTATAAGAGAGACGTGGTTCAACTTGAAAGATAGAAAAATGCCTTCTGAATGCAACGTAGTTATAAAGTATTGCACAGTGATATGGTGAACAGGAAGGGTGGTGGAGTGGCAATATATGTCAGAGAGAATTGAAATTATCTTAGACATGATATAAGATTAGAAATATGGAACACAGAATCTTTCTGGCTACAGTTTATCGAGGGATTTGACAAATTAATTTTGGGTGAGATTTATAGGTCCCGCAAACATTGATAGGGAGTGCAGTTTTTATGGGACGAAATTCATAAGGCATCTAGATTTGAAAATGTTGTGATAATGTGAGATTTTAACTTGAGACAAATTGATTAGACCAATATGAGAGGAAATATTGAGTCTAGTGAGTGTTGACACGGTTCAGGATTACTTTTTATAACAGGTTATGACAACCAATTAGAGGAAAATGTGCTTTAGTTGATTTTTGCCAACAAAGATTCAGTAGTTAATAATGAAGTTATGGAAAGTGATGACAAATGTCTTAGTTTCAATATATCTTGGAATTACCCAGATAACTACTAACTACTAACTGCAATGAAATGTCTGTCCGTCCTAGAATTTCGCTTGGCCGACTTGCTACTTAAAAATGACTTTGGTGGGATAAATTGGGATGTCCTGACTATGGGTCAGGTAGGTGATGTTTGTTGCTAGTATGACTTTTTGAGCATAGTTGTAGGTGTCCAGACAATTTTTTTTGAGAGTAGGGAAATTAGATGTAACAAAAGTGATGGTAAATGGATGAACGATAGATTAAAACATGTTATTGGTCAAAAGAGGTGTATATAGGCGTATCCAAAGAGGGGATGGGCAGTTTAGAAATGAATATATTCAATTAAAGAGAAATAAAGGAATAAGAAAAGTAAAAAGGGATTGTGAGGCTAAGGTGGCAGGGGGGGATTCAAAGACTAACCCAAAAGGGTTGTTTCAGGTATACAGAAATAAGATTAGGGACAAGATTGGCTCACTTGAGAGTAACTAACTGGTCAGATGAGTGATAGTGATAAGGATATGTTTAAAATTATAAATAGCTACTTACTCGATGTTTTCACTTGTGAAAATACTAGTGATTGATATTCCTGAAATAATAATTATGTAGAACAGGATGATAAACCATGTACGATTGCGGTAACTAGTGACATAGTCCTCAGACAAACTAAAACCTAACAAATGCCCAGGTCCTGATGAATTAAGTTTTTGCAAGGGTGTTAAAGGAATATAAAGAGGAACTTGGCCTACCTTTGGCTAACGTTTTTAACATATCATACAAACTGGCATAATGCGTTATAAGTAGAAAATGGCAAATATAATAATACCTATTTACAAGGCAGGTGAGAGGTCCTTGGGTTGGAAGTATAGACCAATAAGTGTTAGGTCCATAGTGGGGAAAATTTATGGAATCGATAATTGTTGAAGCAATTCGTAGACATCTTGATAGGCACAGATTGACTAATAAATTTCAATACTGTTTTAGAAAGGGGCGTTCCTGTTTTGTTAATTTCCTAACGTTTTTCACTAGGTGTTTGTTTGTTTGAGGAGGTAGATCATGGTAATGAATATATTATTATTTATATAGACTTTGTTTTTGATAGTTGCACACCAGAGGCTATTGAGGAAACTTAAGGCACATGGAACAGGAGAAAATTTTTGCTTGGTAGAGGCATGGCTGATAAATAGGCAGCATAGAATTTTCATAAATGGGGAGAAATGAGAATTGGGGCACGTCGCAAGTGGTCAATGTTGGGCCCGTTGTTGTTTTTGTTGTTAACAATTTACGTAAAGGACATAGATGAGGAAAGAAATAGCGACATGAGCAATTTGGTGATGATACAAAATAGGCCATGCAATTTATTCTAATGATATTAGAGCACTCTATGATGATTTGAATAGACTGATGCAATGATCGGAGAAGTGGCAGATGCAGTTTAATATTGACACATGCAAAGTTGTAAATGTTTGAGAGTTGAATAACCATGCCACATATAAAGTAAATAATTTAGATGTTAATAGTATTGGTTTAGAAAATGATTTGAGTTGTGGTTAGTAGTAATGTAAAAGGAAGACAATAGTGCATTAGAGTTTGCAATAAAGGTAACAGAATTCTTTGCTTGATATCTAAAAGTATAAATAATAGAAGTCATCAATTTGTTGAACTCTGTATATCATTAGTTAGGCCTCTTTTAGACTATGCTGCTCAGTTCTGGTCACCGTATTACAGAATGGATATAAATGCTCTGGAAAACTTAGAGGAGGAGGATGACAAAGATGATCCCGTGTATTAGAAATATTTGGTGTGAGGGTAGACTGATGGCCCTGAATGCGCCCTCTTTAGAAAGGTGTAGAATTGGGCGGGGATACGATGTAGGTGTATAAATGGAAAACAGGAATAAATAAAGGGGATGTAAACAGCGTATTGAAAATTTACAGCCAAGACAGGACTCGTAGCAATGGTTTAAAGTGTGAAAAATTCAGAATTGGGAAGGATATAGGAAAGCAGTGGTTTGGTAATAGTCATGGATAAGTGGAACAAAGTGTCGAGTACTGTTATTGAGGCTAAAACGTCGTATAGTTTTAAAAATAGGTTAGATAAATAAGAGTGATTGATTGGGCATGGGTGGGTATGAGTTGGAGCTGGCTAACTTGTACTACTGGGTCTGGTGCCGTTCTTTATCCTTTAGTGGAGTTGACCAGACTGGGTGTGTCATTGGGTTTATGGGGGGGGGGGGATTGACCTGCTGTGCATGGGTCGGTAGGCTTGTTGTAGTGCTCCTTATGTTCTTAAATTGTTAAGAACATAAGGAGCACTGTAACAGCCCCACTGACCCATGTTGAGGAGGTCCATGTCTAGCTCTCGTCCCCCATCTTCTTCCCCCTCCCCCGATTAGCCCAATGATCCACGCAGTCTCGTCACCTTTACTACAGAAAATAGCACGGTACTAGACCCAGCAGCACAAGCTAGTCAGGTTTGACTCTCGCCCACGTACGCTCACTTGTGTATTTATGAAACTTATTTTTTAAATTGTATAAAGTTTTAGCCATAATAATTGTACTTGTGAGTTTATTGCACTCATCCACAAGTGTATTACCCAAACAGTTGTTTCGTGTATTTTTCTTAAGTTTGAATTGTTACAATTTGAAAGCATTGTTGCAATTCCTGTCTTGGCTAGATATTTTCATCAGGGCATTTACAAGTTTTATTTATTCATGTTTTCCATTTGTAAAAGTGTATCATATCCCTTGTATTTATATGGTTTTAAAGAGTGCAAATTCAGTGATCTGATTCTATCCTTATAGGGAGGGTTTGTGATGGTTTAGACACGTAAGCAAACACTGACATGTGCATATTAGAATTGATTAAGGCTCCAGGTCTGAAACGTTTTCTAATAAATATCAGTGTTTACGTGTATTTTTAAATCGGTATTTATTGCAAATGATTATACCAGGATTTGTGATACATGGGATCGGTGACCAGAACTGAGCAGCATAGTGTAAATGAGGCCTAACCAAGGATATATAGTTGAACAACCTGAAGATTTGTATTATTTATACTTTAGGTTAATGTTAAGCATAAATCGATATATTTTTTAGAAATTATTGTAATAAGATTTACATTTAGTTTGTGGTATGGTTATTTTTGTAGCTAAGAAACATTTAGGAATTTGTATTTCTGTCCAACTGCATGTTCTAATTGTCTGAGTATTACATCAGTTTATTTGAATCGTCGTGGAGTGCTCTAGTGTCTTTGTTAGAAATATTTTGAGGGCGTATTTTGGTTTCATGAGCAAATTTGATTATGTCGCTATTATCATGTGTGTCATTTATGTAAATTTTGAAAGAGTAAGAAGGGGCCCAACACTGAACCTTAAAGAATATTGCTTATGATGTGGCCGCATTCTGATTTGTTGTCATTTATGTAAGGTACCTGTTTCATATTTTTCTGTGATGCCTGTAACCAGGAAAAAATATATAGTGTTATTCTATGTTTTAAGTTTTCTCAATAGCCTCTGATGTGTAAGTGTATCGAAATATTATTTTTGATTTAAAACTAGGACTACACTAAATAAATAAAAGCATTGTCAGATATTTCGCATAGAAGAATATCATAATGACAACAAAGTATGTGTTACACTGCCTTTAGAAAATTTTGTCTTGATATGACTGGGTACAACCCCCAAGACGTGTGAAAGATTACACAATATACCAGACATGAATGGATCAGATCATTTAAAGTTACAATAATATGTTGGTACACTGCACACACCTGATACATGTAAAATGACTTTACAGGTTTCCCTCAACATTAATGTTTTCAGCTTTTGTGGGCTTGACACATTTGTGAATTGCCAACCGCCAAATCATATTTAAGTTTCCCGCCACTTGTGAGTCTCTACTACTCTCCCACCGATCCCTGCAACTGGCAGCCAGCCAGCCACCCAGCCACCCAGCCAGCCAGCCAGCCAGCCAGCCAGCCAGCCAGCCAGCCAGCCACCCAGCCAGCCCTCCCACCACTCAGTGTGGTGAGTGTTTTATTTGTTCATTATTTACTATTAAAGTACAGTATAAATAATGTAAACAAACACATTCATGATTGCATATTAGAATGGCTATTTGAACAGGTATTGGACGGTGACATCATGTGTTTACTTGACTTAAGAAATCGTAATGACACGATTGCAAATAAACCATACCCCCGGCCGGGATTGAACCCGCGGTCATAGTCTCAAAACTCCAGCCCGTCGCGCTAGCCACTAGACCAGCCAGCCACAATAAGATTCATCCAACTAGGTATATTTCTACACCATAGGAAAGTTAGCACAGGCACCTCTGTGACCACAAATGCAAGTTTTTACAGACGAATCTCCAGCTAGCGTGGCCGTGGCGAACTCTAGCTCAAGCCCCTTCACAGAGGTGCCTGTGCTAACTTTCCTATGGTGTAGAAATATAACTAGTTGGATGAATCTTATTGTGGCTGGCTGGTCTAGTGGCTAGCGCGACGGGCTGGAGTTTTGAGACTCTATGACCGCGGGTTCAATCCGGCGGGGGTATGGTTTATTTGCAATCGTGTCATTACGATTTCTTAAGTCATGTTGACGGCAGTGAAGGGACTTGAGCTAGAGTTCGCCACGGCCACGCTAGCTGGAGATTCGTCTGTAAAAACTTGCATTTGTGGTCACAGAGGTGCCTGTGCTAACTTTCCTATGGTGTAGAAATATACCTAGTTGGATGAATCTTATTGTGGCTGGCTGGTCTAGTGGCTAGCGCGACGGGCTGGAGTTTTGAGACTCTATGACCGCGGGTTCAATCCCGGCCGGGGGTATGGTTTATGTGTTTACTCTTTAACACAGCAAAGAATCAAAATTTGTACTAATGCTAATAACGGTAGTAGTAATAATAATAATACTAATAATAATAATTAATGATAATATGATATAATTGAAGAAGGAAAATGTACAAAAATATGAGGGAGTGGTTAATACATTGTCAGTGTGGGTTTATTTATGCTGGAGTGAACATTAGTCTCCCTGCTTTTCCAAACATTTCACAAGAATTTATTTTTTGATACTTGTAGAGTGAGTGCGACTGCAATGGTAGAGGCAGTGATATTTACTAACATATATTATAAATAATAATAGTAAATTATGAATAATATTTATTATTATTATAAATGTTATTAATATTAACATATACGCATGTTATAAATAATAATAGTACATGTTAATAAATAGCACTGCCTCTATTACTTGTTCAACTGTTGAATTATTTTGAAATATTTGGAAGAGCAGGGAGACTAATGTTCACTCCAGCATAAACAAAGCCACATTTACTATATGTCAACCACTCCATTTTATTTTTGTACAATTTCCTTCTTCAATTATCTTATTATTATTATTATTATTATTACTACTATTGTTATTATTAGCAGTAGCAGAAATGTTTGATTATTTTTTGTGTTCAAGAGTAAACACATGTCAGCGTCCAATACCTGTTCAAATAGCTGTTCCAATATGCAGTCATGAATGTGTTTACATTATTTATACTATAGTTAAATAGCAAATAATGAACAAACAAAACACTCACCACGGAGGGAGGGTAGTAGGGACTCTCAGTAGTTAAGGCATTGGTGGAGTTTATGGTATTTAATAACATACATGTTATTAAAGCCAAACATGTATATATTTAGTACAACTTAGGACGTTTACATGTATTTGGTTGAAAAAGTTAAGGAAGTAGTATTGTATTATATTTCCCTACAATATAATGGGGCACCAAACATTCATAGTTTTTGAACATTTGCGAGGCTTGTGATCCCCTAACTCTCGCGAATATTGAGGGACACGTGTATACCAAAACAGAAGTGTGCAAGCAATACTAATTAAAAACAAATTTCACTTAGGCTCTATCAATGATATTGACTAATTAAGTACATATAAGAAAATGTTTGAGCAGTACACTCACAACACCAAACCTCTGTCCCCTCTCCCCATTTTTTATCTCAAATCATACCATTATTCATTCGCTGCCTGACTACGGTGGAGTGCGGTTATGCCCAGCACCCCTCTGCTGTTTTTCAGGCGAGCTACCACAGTACATCAACAACCATTGAGTAGTGTGGATGTGTGCTGCTCATTTTGGGATATCAAAATGGCTGAACATACAGTACGGAGAGTAAATACTATCTGCATAGAGCTGGTTTGTGGTACATTAAGTGGAGATACGACGAACGTACTTGTCCCTAACATCATCAGGGACACGTACGGTATCCCCAACGAGGAATTATATGGCGTCGCTCTTAATGGTTTGACAAGAATCTTTGTGAAATTTCCGAGAGCCGGCTTCTACACAAGAATTGTCGAGCAGTACCAGGAACAACGCACGAGTGTGAATTCAGCGATGGATGTTGTGTTACATGACGTTTCTAAGTACTTCACGTGGGTGAAGGTACGGAATGTACCCTTCGAGGCTACGGCGTATGGACTACAGGAGTTTTTTTGCAGTTATGGGACAGTGCATTCTGCAACCATGGGGGTATGGAGGGATGGTCTGTATGAAGGAATGCCGGAAGGTTCTTACACCCTTAAAATGTCTTTAACAAGGCCTATACCATCCTATGTAACAATGACCGGTTGTAGAACACAGGTTTATGTGTACTATGCGGGTCAGAGAAAAACATGTCGTCTGTGCAGCTCTTACGAGCACATGGCAGCCCAGTTTCCTAGGAGGCGGGCTCCTCGAATTCTGGAAATGCCGATTGTGATTCAACAGTCGTGCTGCGATTTGGTGCTTCGCTCCGTTGCCTCGGGGGGCCGGAGGCCCGATCTCTGGAGCAAGGAGGTCGACCGGGAGGTGGCGGAGGAGGAGACGTGCGTCACTATCCCAGGGGAGTCGGGGGAGTCGAAGGCGTTATCCGATGAGTCTTTAGTCCAGGAAGCTTCGACTCGGGAGGGTTTACTGGCAGATGTCATCAAGGATTTTTTGGATGGGGATGAGCCCGGTGCAGAAGGTGTCCTCAGTTTATGTGAAGTTGGAGAGGTGGAGGGACAAGAAATTGTGGAGAAAGACTCGAGTAAGAAAAGGCTGGAGCGTGTGGTGGCCGTGGAGGTACACCAGGAGGATTCGTCTGAGGGTGAGATGTGTGTAAGTGGAAGTTCTAGAAAAAGAACTACGGCATCAGAGACAGACGAGGTTATTACCCCGGGGCAGAGGCCGGGGGAGAAGTCAAGGGCAGCGGTTGTGGAGCCGATGCCACATAGTTGTATAGGTGCGCCCGAGTTGCACAGTGGGAGAGGGAGGGGGGAGGTGACTGCACATGATAACTCGAGTGGTAAGGGAATACGTAATGTGAAAAGTTCAGCGAGTAAATCCCAGCGGCATAGGGGAAAGCCGCCACTTGTATAATTTTCAGAAGTGTCACGCTTAATGTCAATGGACTTAAGACTGAGGTTAAGAAAGTTTTGTTGGAGTGGTTTTTACGGCGGTTTGATGTAGATATTTGCTTTTTGCAAGAGCATAATCATAGGGCTGGTTGTGTGTTGCTGTTAAAAGGATATTGGATGTATGTTGCCAGTGGTTTGCAATTGAAAGGTGGGGTAGCAGTGGCGATAAAGGAGACCAGCCCTTTGTGTGTCATCGGCTGGGAAGAGGGGGGGGGGGGGGGAGGGTCATGAGGGTGGATGGTGTCTGGGGTGAGAGTTGAGTTAGTTTTGTACGAGTTTACATGCCAACAACTAGCAATACCAGGGTAAAGTAGATTTTATCAGAGAGGTATTGCTGTATCACTTGAGAGGTTTGCCTGCTATAACAATAATAGGTGGTGATTGGAATTGTGTGATTAGGAGTCGTGATGTCGAACCGAGAGGGGCGGGTTGTGTGCCGAGTGTGCTGAGGGATGTATTGGCGAGATATTGGGGTTGTTGATGTGGTGGGGAGGGGGGGATACCTAGTGGAGCACACGTTTGTCCGTAGGGGATATGAAGCGCGATTGGACAGAATTTATATTAAGCAGGGTATAGATGTTGTGAGGGTGCAATCCTTCGATGTGGGGTTTTCGGATCACAGGGCGGTAATAGCAGATTTGATGTGGGATGGAGTGGTGTGTATTTATTCTGGGTACTGGAAATTAAATGTAAGGCTTCTTAAGGAGGAGGAGGAGGAGGAGGAGGAGGAGGAGAGGAGGAGGAGGAGGAGGGGCCTTTTTTCAGTGATTGGTGGTTGTCTTTTTGGGAGGCTAGGGAAAGGGGGAGAGATCTGTTAGATTGGTGGGAAATGCAGGCAAAATCGGGAATAGCGAATTTTTTTAAGGTTAGGGGACGGGAAGAGGCGAGGTGGCGTTTTGGGTTGCAAAATTATCTGGAGGGACAGTTGCAAGATTGTTATGTTGGGGGAGGTGGTAGGAGGGACGACATGGACAGTCTGCGGAGCAGGATCGCTGAAATACACAATGATAGGTTTGATGCAATTAGGGTTAGGGCGGGGTTAGAGGATGTATTGTGGGGCGATAAGCCGTCTGGGTTTTATTTTACGTAAATTTAGGGACCGACAGAGTGTAACCACCATTCTACAATTGGAGACAAGCCCTGGGGTGGGAGGGTATCCAGTGGGTCGAGTCCTATCCAATACGGAAAGTACGAGTCTCTATGCCGATAATTGGTTTAGGGAGAAATGGAGTTGGAGGGAGGGGGTTCCTGGGAGGGTATTTTTGAAGGGGGGTTCCATAGCGTTTTAAGTGAGCAGGATAGTGGGGTTGGAGGTTGGTATCAAGTGAGGTTGAGGTGGAAGAGGCAGTTTTCGGGACGAGTACCGGGAAAACACCAGGGATAGACGGTATACCAAATGATTTTTATAGAGCACATTGAGGGTGTATTAGGCAGTGCTTTGTTAGGCTATTGGATCATATGTTAACTAGTGGGAAGTTGGGCACATCGCAAAGTACGGGTGTCATAGTTTTGGTGCCAAAGAAGAGGGGGGGGAAGAGAGTCGAGTGTTTACCGAGCAATATCTTTGACGTGTGCAGACGAGA